CATAGAAATCTCCCTCTCATCTACATGGGGTGTCCAGGGGTCGCACTGCAAAGATGGTGGAAATAGACTACTGTATTTACTGAGCCGTGGAGCAGTCATGTCACCAACTACATGTCACATCCCCACCAGCCAAGACCCCAAGGGTGGCCGAAATGATCCCTGACTCTCCCATCACAGTGGCAAGGAGGGCCCAAGCCCTGCCACAGCTGTCTTTAATAACGACATCAGTAGTCAGGACTGACCTGTCCCAAGTCTCTCTATTTCCCTAGTTGCTCTTTCCAGCAAATCTGCCAGGAAAGGGTTCTGAGGCTCTGAAAGTGGGACTGGCTCAGGATCACACATGCCCCTCTGTGCACATGTAGAGACATGTGAGTGTGTATGAGTGTGTACAGCATGTGCTTGTTTGTTCAAGCGTGTGCACACTTGCATATCTGCAGACATCCATGCACATGTGTGTTTGTGCATGCACATCTGTAGGCATGTGTGTGAGCGTCCATATATGGACATGTATTCTCATAGATGGGTGCATACATGGAGATGCATGGGCATGCATGTGCACATGTGTATACACACATGTATGTGCATGCAGGCACATCAGTGTATATGTAGGCCTACATGGACATGTGTACACATGCATGCATGTGTGGACATGTATATGCACGTGTGTGTGCATGTGTGCATGCACACACACACACGCTATGCTTTTGACTTAGAAGTAAAGAGCTATACCTGGAATCAGAGGTCAGAGACACGAGCCGGAAAGGGCACCCACCCGAACTTTCCTCGTAGGGACAAGACGACAGGCTCTGGGAGAGAAGGCTGAAGGTTGTCAGTGGTTCCTGGCTCCTGGCAGGGGACACTGCCTGTAGCTGCCTGGGGCTGCTGAGACTGCCGGCCAGCGCAGGAGCCTCTGGCCCTTCAGGCTTTGGTTGGGGGGCCCGAGCTGCAGGTGGTTGGGAGGAGTCTGCCTGTGGGCAGGCTGGGTGCAGCAGGAGGAGGGGCCGGGCAGCCTCCCACTGATGGGGCCCCTGGCCTGCAGGCGTAAAGGTGCTGTTCCGTGTGGGGCTGACACTGGTCCGCCTGGCGCTGGGCACCACCGAGCAGCGCCTGGCCTGCCCGGGGCTCCTGGAGACACTCGGTGCCCTTCGAACCATCTCCCCGGCCCAGCTGCAGGAGGAGGTCTTCATGTCCCAGGTGGGTACTTCCTGCCGACTCCGTGCAGTGCCCCAGCCCCTGTTGCAAGGTAGGGAAACTGAGGCACGAAGCAGGAAACCAGAGTGAGGACCGGGCGGTGGGGCGCTCAGTTCCTGCCCCTGAGCTGGAGAGAGTGTGAAAGCTTCAGGCCTCCAGTGGCTTTCTGTGGTTCCCCCTCATGGGCATGTCTGTCAGCCCCTCAGCCCTCAGTACTTCCTGGGCTGTGTCCTGCCTGCCCGAGGGGGGCCTCCTGGTTTCCCGCTGCCCCCTCCCCCGCCAGCCTGGGCAACCTCGGCATCAGCCTCTCCCACAGGTGCACAATGTGGCCCTGTCTGAACGAGACCTACAGCGTGAGATCCGCGCCCAACTGGGCCAGCTGCCCACGTCAGCACCCGGACCGCCACCTCGGCCACAGGCCCGCCTTGCGGGAGCCCCAGCCATCTTCGAGGCCCAGCAGCTGGCAGGGGCTCAGGGGGGCTCCAAGCCTGGCCCCCCGGTGCCCCGCATCGTGGTGCAGCCCCCTGAGGAGCCCAGGGTGCCTCGGCGCAAGCCCCAGACCCGCGGCAAAACGTTCCATGGACTCCTGGCGCGGGCCCGGGGCCCCCCCCTGGAGGGCTCCCCCAGGCCCCATCGGAGCTCCACCTCCTTCCTGGACACGCGCTTTTAAGGGCTCCTTGGACTCTGGGGCTCCGGCCTGAGGGCCTGAATGGCCAGCCCCACAGGTGGGCACCGCACTTTACGTGGGGGTCAGCTTCCCCTCAGCTCCTTTTCTAGCGGGGCTGTTACGTTATGTGCCGTCGAGTCGGACCCGACTCATAGTGACCCCTCCTTGGGTTTCTGAGGCAATATCACAAGGGGCCCCCATTTCACGGACAGATTCGTTTCTGACCCCATACTGGACAAGAGGTGAAGGAAGGGGCTATCCTGGGGCACAGGCTCCCGCATGTGTTGAAGATGGGGTGAGGGCAGCTGGTGGGTGGGCCTCCATGGGGGGCTGGAATAAAATCTGACTGAACAGAAGCCTGAAGGTGACTCAGATGCCCCTTCCCCCCCTCAAAGCCCCGCCCTGTCCTAGCCCAGCTCTGGTTCCCATCCAGGGACACCAAGAAACTGCCAAGTAGACAATGGTCCTATAAGTTTGTGTGAATGATCTGAATTCCCAGGTGTATAGTAGAGTTGACAAGGGGAAGGTTGTGGTCACTGCTTGGTCACAGCCAGCTACCTACAGGGACCGAGTAGTTGAACCTGTGGGCTCGGGACCATAGTCACAGGGGACATCAAGCTCAATTGGCGTAACATACTACACAAAACATTGTTCCACCTCCTGCTTTGGCAAGTAGCAACTGGGATCTTAAAAGCTAGCAAGCTGCCATCTAGATGCAATGATGGGCCTCTCCTCGTCCAGAGCAAAGAAGAATGAAGAAAACCAAAATTCATGGAAACAATTAGTCCTAGCGACTGATACACCATAGACCTGCAGCCTATACGATTATGAGACCAGAAGAACTAGATGGTGCCTGGCTACTACTGTCAAGCACTTGAAAGGGGATTTATGTAGGAAATCCTGGATGGAGAGGGAGAACAAAGTAGAACAAATCTCAAACTCATTTGGAGAAAAAAAAAAGGTGGGGGGACCAAGTTTGCTGGTCCAATGGAGCCTGGTGGAACCACTGAGACTATGGCCCCTAGCTGCCCTTCAGGTCTGGAATTGAACCCACACTTGTGGTTTCCAGCCAAATAATAGACATATGAGTTGAACATTTACCTGAGGTAGGTAACACTCCTTGGAGAGAACAATCATGGGATAAAGAAGGGCTGCCTATGCACAGGGAGACAGCTTAGGGGGCAGGAGTCCATGGAGGGATGGACACTGGGAAGAGGTACTATGGGAGGAAGTGGGAGGGGAGCTGTTGCATTGTGGTAAATTGTGGTCAATGTCATGAGACAAAGTGTATGTGAACTGCTGTATGGAAAGTGAATTTGCTCTATAAATTTTCACCCAAATCACAATTAAAAAAAGAAAGAAAGAAACTGCCTAGTGGGGCACCAAGAAACTGCCTAGTGGGGCACCAAGAAACTGCCTAGTGGTGACAGCAAGGTGTTTGTCAGAGCCCTGCCTCAGCCTCTGGGGCAGGTGGGGTTGTCACACCTGTTGCAGGACTGCTCCCCGGATGGGTGCAGGGCCCAGAAGTGGGGCTCCATCCACTGTTCTTCCTCTCCTTCCCCACCCCAGGCCAGCTCAGGGCCCCCGGAGGTGAGGGGCTCCGACCCAAGTCGACACCCCCCACCCATGGGCCTGGGCCCGAATCTCTGAGGGAGCCAACTGAACAAAGGCCCAGTGTCCCCGGGACAAAGGACAAAGGCCCCGCTGGCCGTTGCCCCCTCCCTCGGCCCTGCTGCACCCCCTCGGGACTGCCACCATGGAAACTCCCTCCCACACTCACTAATTGCCCCCTTGGGGGCCCCGGGGTGCCTGGGCCATGAGCCATCGCCAGGACAACGGGCCGGTTCTGCTGCGGGCTGTGTCCCTGCAGTGCCCGTTCCCAGGTGCCCAGTATCGCTGCCTCCCAAGGCCACCCCCTCTAGCAGGTGGGGGGGCAGGTAGCTGGCAGGGCTCTGGAGCCCATGGTTCACTGGTAGACCATCATGTGGTATTCATCCCAAATGTCCCAAGAGGTCTGGGCTGGAACGCAGACCTGATCCCCTGTTGGGTCCTGGAACATGGTGAGCCCGGATCCAGCACGCTCTGGTGACAAGGCCCCAGGCTTCCAGAGTATACTCACTCTGCCTGAGTTCATGTGGTGCCTACTAAGTGCCAGGCCAAGCCCTGGAAAGACGGTCCGTTCCCAGGGAGCCTAGGGCCTGGAGGACGGTGGGGGTTTCCCAGCCCTTGTCCACAGACAAGAGCCCTTCTCCCAGCTCTGGGAGAAACCAAGGCACAGGAGGGGAGGGCCTTAGACAAGTTTCCTCCGCCCCTCACCACCCGCACTGCCCCACCCCTGCCCTCCTGCGGCTTTCCCCTTCCTGCCCCTCACCCTGGCAGCCCTGCCCGGCCTCTGAGTGTGGGCAGCAGCGGGGGCCCCTCCACTCCCCTCCCCACTCCACGCAGGGCCTGGAGCTGGTTACTAATAGCCAGCTTCCCTACAGTTCATCAAACCCTTTCTCACACATCCCCTGCCCCATGACGCCCTTGCTCCTGAGAGTTGCTATAGAGGAAGAAAGGAGTGGAGGCCCAGAGAGGGTGGGTGCCCAGCCCAGGAGCACAGCTCAGGGCAGAACTGATCTTCCGTGCCTTCTAGAGAGGACGCCTCAACTTTCTCCAAACCTAACCTAACCCACTGCCATCCGTGCTGACTCAGAGCGACCCCCATAGGGTCTCCAAGGCTGTAAATCTTTACAGAAGCAGACTGCCTCGTCTTTCTTGCACGGAGTGGCTGGCGGGGTCAAACCCCTGACCTTTTGGTTAGCAGCCCAGTGCTTTAAGCACAGTACCACCAGCGTTCCTATTGCCTCAACTTTAGAGGGGATCTAAGGGTGGGATTGATTCCAGGCACTGCTGCAGTGGTTCGGGTGGGACACGTGCCCCTGGCGTCTGCTATAAGCAGCCTGCCTCCGGTTCTGGGGCCCTGGGCCCCTCCCCCACCGCTTGCTGAAGAGTAGGGGACAGAGGATACTGCTGCACAGTCCTGGTCTGCGATTCCACCAAGTGGTGGCAGTGGGTCATGTTGGGGACAGACCCTGGGGACAGCTGGTCTCCAGCAGGGCCCCTGCGTTTGGGCCCAGCAAAGGCTGACACTGTTCCCAGAAGCATTTTCTGGACAGCGCCCCCTGCAGGTCCCATTCTCAGCCGTCTCTGTGGGAAGCCCAGGCTGAGGGGTCAGGCCAGACGGCTCCCTCCTCATGCCAGCATTTCTGTACCCACTCAGTGGGTGCCCCCACGGGGCTGCACTAGTCCCCTACAGCAGTGCGGCCAAAAGCAGCCCCAGAAAGCCTTGCAGGGAATATGGCCTGTGCTGGGGGAATCTGGATTAAGTCTCTTCCCCCGTGGTGCCCCCCAGTGGTGGCAGGGGCACAGCTAGGCAGACTGACCACTGGGCAGTGCCTTCGTACAGAGAACAGCTCCACAAAACGATGGTGTGCCTGCAGCCCAGCTCCCTACAGACCTGCCTGGATACAGGCTCAGAGCAGGGCAGCCATGCGCCCGAGAGCACTCAGTCTGCAGGGACGGAAGCTGGGGTGGCCCCCGGGGTGCCTATCTGCCAGGGGCAGCTCTGGGGGACAGGGATGGGGGTAGGCACAAGCTAAGGGGTGCGAGGGCAAGTGGACTCCAGCCTTGGCCTTGGGGGGGGAGGTCTCCAGCTCACAGTGCCACTCAGCCCAGAGGTCCCCCTGATCGTCCTGGGCTCTCAGAGGCCAGTAGTAGGCTCCTTGCAAAGTCTCTGCAAAGAAAGGCCCTCATGGACCCTCAGTTCTCTTCTACGAATAGGCTGATGGGCGTTCCCACCCCAGTCCCCAAAGCACTCCACCGCCTAGTGACCAGCACAATGGTTGTGACCTGCCTCTCCTCACCCTGCCCCTCCCCGGCTCGGCTCAGCCCCAGCCACCTCCAGGCTGTGGTGGCAGGGACAGGAGTGCCCTACTCGACTGCCCACCTGCCCCGAGTCCCCGAGTTGCAGCTGTTCAGCCTGACTTTCCTTCCCTATGTCCACAGCACAACCAGCAGCACAGCAGTGCCCAGCCTGGTGGCCTGGGAGCAGGCACAGACCGCCACTGCCCTCTGCACAGTGTGTGTGTGCAGGGAGCGGGTGGGGCAGTGGAGGGCACCAAGGGGCCAGCCAGCAGACACTTGTGGCCTTCTGCTCCCCACGGAGCACTGTGCTCGGCAAGGGCCTGGAGGCAGGTGACAGCCCCTCACACAGGCTCTGGCAGAGGAAAGACCTCAACTCCAGCTGATCCGCTGTGTGACCTTGAGGAAGTCACACCACTTTTCTGAGCCTTGTTTTCCTCACCTGTAAAAGGCAGAGAATAACTGTGGCCAAATACCACAGTGCCCAGAACAAGCATGTGACATGGCCACTGATACCACCAAATGCTTACTCTCTGCCAGGAGCCCTGCCCACCCAAGCCCGGGCTAAGTTTGCATTGTGATTCCCATTTGCCAATGAGAAAACTGAGGTTCCCAGAGCCCATGTAGCTTAACTGTCTAACCTCATGCTCTTTGGGTGATCTCAGGGCACTTCCCCTGCCCCCCCCCCCTTGTGGGATCCACTGGCTCTCAGGCCACCCAGGCAGCAGCTCAAGGATCTCAGGAGAAGGAGGAGGGAAAGGGGGTGGCTACAGGGAAGGATTTGTAGGGACTTGGGGCTGGGAGAGCCCAGAGCAGCCCCAGAAAGCCTTGCAGGGGATATGGGCAGGGTGGGAGACTCCGGATTAAGTCTCTTTCCTGGTGGTGCCCCCCAGTGGGGGCAGGGGTGGACTCCCAGAGGCTACTCTGTACACAGTGCCAGAGAGGGCCCAAAGCTGGCCCTCCACCCCCACAAGGGCTGCAGGGGCTCCTGGGCTGGCAGGCTTCATGCATTCCAGCACCCCACCTAGTCCTCTCACCAAGCCCAAGAGGTTCACAGAGGACAGGGCTCCAAGGACCGTCAGAGAAGGAGTGGGCCACCCAGAGAGGGTGTGTTTCTTTGGGTGAGTGTGTGGCTGAGTCAGGTCTCTTGGGGTGTGTGTGCTTTTGTGTGCTTGGGTGGGTGTAACTGGGTGGAAGTATGGTGCCTTGTGGAGACTGTGGGTGTAACTGGTGTGCAGCTGACCTGCGTGTTCCAGGGGAGGTGGTCTTGCAGACACCCCCCTTCCGTGCTTAGACCCCTGGGATCCCAGTGGGCCTGGCCACCCCCACCTGGCCTCCTACAGGCCGGAGGGGGTCCCTGGGACCTGGAACTGCCCTCATAGGCGGTTGTATGGAGATGCTCCCATTCTGGCAAGGGCCCCCAGACGCTGATCCAGAGAAAAGGACCTTTCCGACAGCATCTGCAATGGGGCCAAGCACTTGGTGTCCAGACGGCTGTGGGCACTTAGGGACCAGGACCTGGGCCAGGGTCAGGCCCCACTGTGTGTCCCGTCACCCACTCCTGGGGCCACCCCACCCCCAAGGGCGGGTCCTAGTACCAGTATCTGCCGGTGCCAGCCTCTGGCTCGCCCTGCCCCTCCCTCCACCCTCCTCTTCCTATCCCTCCCACCTCTCTCTCAGGCTGAACTGTCCCTCTGTCCTTAGCCCTGGTTCTGTCTTCCCCTGACCCCAGACCCTTTTCTGTGACCCTTTCAGACAGTCGTTGCTCTTTTGTACCTGGCCCTGGGGACTTCGTGTCTCTGAAGATGCCCCATCTATCTGTCCCTCTGAATCTCTCTGTCCCTCCTGACTGCACCCAGCCCCTGACCTGAAGTCTCCTGGTCTACCACGACCCCACGACCCCACGTCTCAGGACTGGCTGACAGCGCTTTGGCGGGAGGGAGCCGGGCTGGTCAGATCTGCCTGTCCCGCCAAACGGCGGACCTGCTAAAACTTGACCCCGCGGTCGGCCAGCGCCAGCCCGCGTCTGCACTGGGCATGCCCTGGGCGCGGCTATAAAAGGCTGCTGCAAGCCCCAGCCCAGCACTGTGCCGCCGCTGTCACCCGCCACCTGCTGCCCGCCCGCCGAGCCTCACCGCCCGCCGAGCCGCTGCGCCCGCAGGTACCCCGGCTCCGGCTCCCGCCTGGGCGAGCCAGGGAGGGGGGCTGCCGGGGCAGGAGGCGCGGGGCCGGGGACCCTGAGCACAGCCGCCCCCCCCCAGGGACCGGGGACAACCCCCCACACGCACACTGCAGGGGCTGAGCCAGAGCTGGGACGCCCCTTCCTGTGCCAGCCCCCGGCAACCCTGGGTCTGTGAGCTCAGGGGTGCAGGACCCACGGAGGTCCCGGCACAGAGATCCCTCCGCCCCCAGGGGTGGGGGCGGGGCAGCCTTGGAACCCTCCTAGCTGGGTCAGGACAGGGCACAGTGGCGGCCACCTGTCCACCTCCAAAGTCTTTGAGGCTGGGTGGTGGGTAGGGAACCGGGTGCCCTGACGCCCCCCCTTTTCTCTCTCTGTCTCTCTGCCTCTGACATCAGTCTCTCAGCCTTTCCACCTGCGAGATGGTGAGTTCCCTGTGGTCCCTCCCCGCCAAGGCCCAAGACCATGGACAGAGGGAGGGCCCAGAGGGCAGTGCCTGGCACCCAGAGCCTAACCCTGGGGCTGCTCTAGACACCTCAGACCCACGGGCAGCTCATGCCCCCTGGGGGTCCCACCTCTCTAAGAGAAGCAGCCTCTCCTCCCCTCCGGCCCTGGGAAGCAGGCAGTGTTTGTCCCCTCCCACATGCATGCAGTCACACATCCTGAGCACCTACTGTGCACCCAGTAGCATTAGGTTTGGGGACACAGCAGGGAACCCACTTTCTAAGCAGAGTGGAGGCTCAGAGGTTGGCTCTGACAAGCTGGAATTCAAGCCCAGGCCTGAGGCCCAGACCTCTACCCACACCCCCAGCCATAGCACTCTGTCCTCAGCAATCAAGGTGATCTTAGTCCAAGCAGTAGCAGCACCCTGGGATGGGACCCAGCAGGCACCAGGCACCCACAAGGCCCAGAGAGGCCTTGCAACATGCCCAAGGTGGCAACGTGCCCAGCTGCTGGGTCTCCCGCTCCAGGCCGGGGACCAGCAAGGAATAAGTGTCCCCATCTATGTTCACAGGGAGCTTCCGACAGCCTGGTGTGGGTGGCAGCCAGGGTATGGCCACCCCAAGTCTCAGAGAGAGGCAGGAGCTAAGATGTCACCAAGAGAAAGCATTTCCTTGACTGGAAACGTCTCAAAAGAGAGGCACCTGCCTTTGTCCCCCCAAGCCTGCACAGGGCTGAGCACGCAGTGAGCCTCTGGGACATGGTCTCATAAAACTCCAGGATGGGCCCCGTGGCCCAGAGAGCAGTGAGCAGACCAGCATCATTAGCTGGTGCCCGTTTATTTAGTCTTCATTCAACAAACATTTTTGGAACAGCTCCTGTGTGCCAGGCATGGTCTGAGGTTCCAGGCCTGCATCGATGAACAAAACAGACAAAAGGTTCAGGCCAAAGCGAAGCCTGTGTGGGAGGAGGGACCCAGTGGTCCAACCAGCAGGCCACAGCTGTCCTCCCCTGACCCGGGGCGCTGCCCCTAACAGTTTACAAAGCACTCCCACAAGCCTGACCCGGTGACCAGCCTCCACCCCCCACCCACCCCAGCCCCTCCTAGTCCTCTGGACAGTGTCCATCCCAAACATAACTCAAGGTTGGGGGGCCGGGGGAGGATCCGGGTGACCCAATGCGCCCCCTTGCCCAGCCCACCCAAGCACTGCCCCTTCTGCCCCTCAGCTCTCCCTGGACCCGCTGTGTCCCAGCTGGGACAGCCCCCTGGACACTAAGGACCTGGAGGACCAGGAGGGCCCGTGGGGAGGGGGCTCTGACCTGCCACCCACAGGTTGCCTCCCCGGCCCGTGGCGCCCGGACGTGGGCTTGGACTGCAAGGGCTCCCCCGAGGGGGCCACGGCACGGGCTTGGACAGCCTCCTACTATAACCTCCTCCAAAGCTGCCTGCAGCACGCTGGCCTCCCGGAGACCCAGGACCGCAGTCAGGCACCCCGCACAGGTGCCCGAGGGCTCCGGGAGGGGGCAGCCCAGGGAGGAGGGGAGGCCTTCAACCCAGCTTGCTTCCCATTCCAGGGGGCAGGGGGTACCTGCCAAGGGCGGCCTCTCCCCGGCTCTGGGTCTATCTGAAAAGAAAGCACCACAGCCAGGCACCCCAGGCAGGCAGCCAGCCAGGCCACGTTTCCAAGGGCACCTGGCACCAATTAACGCAGAGATTGAAGTCTCCCGCCCACCCCAAAAGATCCAGCCCTGGGGTTTGCAGGCCATGTCCTGAGGAGCTCATGCTTCCAGAATAGGGTCCTGGGAACGGCTGTGGAGGCAGCTGAGTTAGGACCCCAGTTGCACCCCGCTTTATCTGGTGGCTATGACAAGTGACTACAAAAGGAGTGTTGACACAGAGGGTTCACAGCAGGAATACATGAGAAGCCCAGTTGGTCCCATTGTACAGACTGGGAAGCTAAGGCCCAGAAAGGGGCAGTGGCTCCTCCAAGGTCACACAGCAACAGGCAGAGCCCAGACTAGAACTCAGGTCTGAGTTCCAGGCTCCAGAGCCTTCCAAACCAGCTGCAGAGAGAAGAGAGTGGCCTTCCAGCTCCCCGCTCCCCATCCAGCTTCCTGCCCACCCCCCTTATGCCTCACCTTCAATCCCAAGAAGGACCAGGGCCCAAGGGTGAGGGAGGACAGGGGATGGAGGGAGGGAGCAGAGAGACAGTGAGGACCCCCTGGTGAGCTGGGCCCTGCTCTCTTCCCCTGAGGCCGCCCCGGGGCAGAGGTGACCCTATGTATCCTGGGATCCCCGAGCACTTTCCTGTCCGTGCTGCTGGAGGGCGGGGTCCAGAGCCCGGGTGAGTGTGTGCCTCAGTGCCCCCACCCCCTCCACAGAAAGGGCAGCCCTGCCCCAGCCCGGCCACATCCCAAAATACCCACGGACCCTGGCAACAGCCTGCATTCCAGTGGGCAGCTGCCCTGCTCTGGGTGGGGGTGGGTTCTGGAAACAGCTGCCCCCCCCCAACTCCTTGGGGCCCAGGGCTGGAGGTGGAGGGCCTGGGGGCATTAGCTGTCTCCTGGCCAGCCGCCTGTCCCCCTCTGCCCACAGGAAACATGCTCCTCTGCCTGTCCCCTGCTTGGCTGACAAAGGTGCCCGCAACCGGGCAGCCGGGTGAGGCGGTCCTGCTAGTCTCCAAGGCCGTGAGCTTCCACGCAGGGGGCCTAACATTCCTGGACGACTTTGTGCCCCCTCGCCGGGCCACCTACTTCCTGGCAGGCCTGGGGCCAGGGCCCGGCTGGGGTCGAGAGGCAGCGGAACTAGCCCGTGACCTGGCCTGCCCCACAGGCTCTTCAGCAGAGCTGGCCCGGCTGCTGGAGGACCGGCTGCTGACCAGGCGGTTGCTGGCCCAGCAGGGGGGCGTGGCCGTGCCAGCAACCCTGGCCTTCACCTACAAGCCTCCGGGGCTGCTGCGGGGTGGGGAGGCCAGCCCAGGGCTGCGGCTGGTGGAGCTGAATGGCAAAGAAGGCCAGGAGGCCCTAGTGAAGGAGGAAGTGGGGGCTTTTCTGCACTCGGAAGCCCTGGGGGATGCCCTGCAGGTAACAGGCCCCTGCCCACCCTGAGGCCCCGGCAGCTGCCCGGAGGACGGGCCCCCCAGGGATGGTTCCCAAGTCCTGCTGGGAAGGCGGCCCCATCTTGCTGTGGCAATTCCTGTCCTCTCACCTCAGTTTACTGACTCCTGGGATGTGAGCAAGGAGCTGTGGTGATGCAGAGGTTAAGGCATTTGGCTGTTAGCCAAAAGTTCAGCGGTTCAAACACACCAGCCTCTCTGAGGGAGAAAGATGAGGCAGTCTGCTTCAAGACTGACAGCCTTGGAAATCCAGTGGGGGTCGCTATGAGTCGGAATGAACTCGTGGCAATGAGTTTGGTTTAGGGTATGAATAGCCCACCTGCAAGCACACGGGTGGTGGTGAGGAGGGCCCCTACCATCTCTGCTGCAGGTGGCCGTGAAGCTCAGTGGCTGGCGCTGGCGAGGGCAGCAGGCGCTGCGTCTACACCCGAGGGCAGAGGTGGGCGCAGTGGTGGACACGGTGCTGGTGCTGCTGGAGAAGCTGGAGGAAGAGGAGGGTGTCCTGGTGGAAGCTGTGTGCCCGTCGGTCCGGCTGCCCAGCGTAGGTGAGAGCCTCCCGGACTGGCCCGGGGCGAGGGTGGGGCCTGGCCTCTGGCTGCTCTGGGCTCAGGCCCTCTGTCTCCCCACAGACAGCTTCCCACCCGGCCCTGAGCTGGCTGTTCGCATCTGTGCAGTGGTGTGTCGCACACAGGGTGACAGACCCCTGCTGAGTAAGGTGAGCAAACCCTGAGCCAGGTGCAGGCCCTGCCCGCCACACCCCAGAGCAGCCCCACTCACCTGCCAAGGAGGTCTGGGCAGTCTCTGGGCAGAGAAGAGAGGACAAAATCTCGAGGGCTCCTGCTTGCCTGGGTGTGTGTGGGGGCGCTCCTAGGTCTCACTTTCTCCCTCCCCTCCAACCCTTCCTGCATCCCACCTGCATGGGGAGGCCCTGCCCCTGTGCTCAGCCCCCAGCTGAGGCCCAGGACCCAGGGCCAGTCCTCTTCCCAGGGAGATCTTGACCTCACACGAGACCCACCCAGGGTCCCCAACCAGCTCCAGTGCCTGGAGCCCTGTGACAGGTACCCTCCTGGGTACACAACTCTGCAGCAAACTGAGGGGGATTGGTCCCTGCCCTGAGGCAACTCCCAGGAGGGGATGCTAGGCACGTGGTACAGGCCCCAGGCAGCTAGAAGCAGGGAACCCCAGCTGGGCCTGGGAGTCTGGGGAGAGACAGGGGTGGGTGGTTTGTGCAGTTTAAGGCAAGTTAGGGGACGGAGCTTTTGGAGTGGTCGGCCAGGGGCCTGGCCTGGGTCTTGCCTCTAGGGGAGGTGTGTGTGGTGTTTGGGGCGGGGGTCCTAGAAGGGCCCTCTCGCGCCCCTGAGCCATGCCCTGCCCAGGTGGTGTGCGCCGTGGGCCGTGGCGACCGGCCGCTGCGGCACCATAGCTCCCTGCCGAGGACGCTGGAGGCGGCGCTGGCCCAGTGCGGCCTGGGGGAGACGGCGCAGGTGGAGGCCGTGCGGCGGCGCGTCAAGGCGGCTGCTGAGGCCGCGTTAGCCGCCGTGCTGGCCCTGGAGGCCGGC